CCCCCGTCCGGGGGCCCGCCCCTGCCGCCGACGATGACGACGGTTGTCCAGATTCGACACTACGGCCGGTGGTACTGTTCCTTTTGAATCTGGAGAAGTTCGCAAAGTTCCGTATAGTCCTGTGTTCGTTCTCGGTCCTTCTCTCAGGCGGAACCGGCGGCCTCGGCGCGGAGACCTTACTCGTCGGTCTCTCCGGCGGCGGAGGCGGAGACGTGTGGAGAACGCTCGATGACGCGCGAGAGACGCTCTGCGGCTGAGACGCCGAGGCGGCGCCGGAGAAGAGGAGATCGGAGCAGAAATCGTCTTGGTGGAGAGGATAGTGAAGCCATGAAGCCATCTCGTCTTCCTGGATGAAGAGATTCTGATCGGGTGGCGAAGGCGGCGGAGGATCTGCTAGTCCTCCGGCGATCTCCGGCGGATGAGAGAGTTTATGAACGTTGGGCCTCTGCTGCGTCTGGTTCTGGACAACTACTTGGCCATTGTGCCAAAGCAGCTCCATGATATCTTCTTCAGCCCTAAACCAAAGCAAAAAAACGCAACCAAAATCAGAGGAAAGAAGGCGAAATTCGAGGGAAAAATCATCGGATTGATGAAGAAAGAATTTACATGGCTGATTTTTTGGGAAGATTCAAGGAGGAAGGAGAAGAAGAAACAGGGATGGAATAACCATCGCGGGTTTCAAAGTCAGGGACGAAATGATTCATCTCAGGAGGATATTTTCTCAGGTAGGGAGCCAAGAACACCGAATATCGAAATGCGTGACTACATATCCTACAAACAAAAAAGAACAAAAATCTGGGAAACTCTCTCTCTCCCTCGTTTTCTTTCCCACGCAGGAAACCTCCAAGAAAACCACGCAAACCAAGAATATCTGCAGGAGCTGAGCGAATTCTGGGAAAAAAAAAAAAGGATTTCCCTTTTCGCAGATTGGGTTTATGGGTTGGGAGTTTGAGCTGCGGGTAAGAAGGAGGATAAGCTCTCCCTCGATGTCAATGTGGAGAGAGAGAGAGAGAGAGAGTAATGGCATTAACAGCTCCTTTGTCTCTCTTCATTTATTATTCCCCAAAAACTCATCTCCACTGCTATCCGAGTTTCTTATGCAGAAACTGATGTCGCTGTTTTTACTACATACATCTATACATATATACTGATATATATATATATACACACACATATATACGCATATGCATCAGAAACTAACTGTTCTTTGGCCTCGCGATTGTCACTCTTTTTGTCGTCCGCCGTACACGTTCATAGATTTCTTTCAAGTAGCATCAGTTTCTTTCTTTCTTCGTCACAATTATCCCTCTTCCCTTTTGTGTGGTATATATTTTCATGCAAATTTCAGATGATTTTACTGTCAGCTAATGTAATTCTTCCGGTGAATCAAAAAACTCTTACCTTACTGGATAAATATATATGCGTGTGATGGATTTTGATTGGAAATCCATGAAGGGTATATGGTCAAACTTCTTTTTTATTTTTTATTTTATAATCCAGAAGTTCACTGGGTCTTTGCCCCAACTACATCTTCTAGAGGAACGAGACCGTCCACATGAAAATCTCTCTCCAACCAAAAATCGAACCGCCAACCTCTGAATGCTTTGCACCCACCTACTCCAGCCGGTGACCACACCTACTCCAGCCGGTGACCACTCGCGCATATGGTCAAACTTGCATAGCCTTTTGAAGGAAGTCTTACACGCACGCAAGGTTAATCATGTGATTTAAGATCGCCATTTTAAGTGGAAACACACTAATAAACGAATGTGTTTCTATAAGAGTAAAACTGGAGAGAAACAGATTGATAAGATTTGAGATGTGTGGACTCACATTCATGCTGTCTTGGTGGGGACAACCTTTTGAGACCCAACTTGCTCCTGTGGGACACCACCACCTCTATGATTTTTCATTCAACCCAACATTTATATAAATATATAAATGTGTGTGTGTGATCTTTTAATTATAATAGAAAACACAGTTTTAGTAAATCATTTTTAAGAATATAATAATTGCAACCTAAGGTTCAATGAAATTGTTACATATTTGGCGCCGTTACAATAAATTATGAATTTTTTGTGTTGTTTTTCATAATTTATTTGTAAATATTCCAAATCAAGGTTTTCACCAAAAAAAATCATATAGCAAGAGCTGCATTTGGAAAATCTGTCTATAATACTATATATGTATCACATTCATATAAGAGAAATAAATAAATATTATGCCGGGTTTAAGGAAGCGATGGTGTGTGATAAACAATAATTTCCAAAACCTTAATTAATGATTTGCTTAAAATAATGCTTCCATGTTAAACCCTTACTAATACTTTAATGGATTGCACGTAATCTTAAGATTATTTTATTTTTATCCATATATCACCACCTCTAATACGTTACGAATTTTGTCGGCGATTGATAACTTTGCTTAATTTAATATTTTTAAATAAGCATACATATACATATACATATATAATCATGGGGAAAGGTGCTTTCTTTTTTAGTGTTTACGTCGAATTATTCGCAGATCTGATACTATCTTTTCTTAAGATAAAATAAAATAATCCAAAAGTTATTTGGTTTTTTAGGTGAAAGATGTTTGGTTAATAAATCATATATTTTATTAATTTTTTAAGCAGTGGAGAGAAAATATGAATTTTGAACTTTCATTTTTGTGAAGATTATATTCACCGTCCGATAATAGGTGGTTCAAACCGATAAAAAAAGGGTTTTTTTTTTAATATGGGTTTGAATTCTCATTTGGAAAGAGATATTTACATGGATTTTTTCGATCTTCTAAAGATGTAGTCGGATTAAAGAGTTTAATTTTTATTTTATAAAAAATGTACTCACTAAAATTATTAGTTAGATGTGTTATGTGTGATGATAAATTAGGTAATTAGTAATCTATCTTATATATACGAATGATATAGATAATTGATAGTGATACATACGAGTAATTGTTTATGCCAACGTACAAAAGAAATTATTATGAAGTTTTTTAAATAATTTTTGCAGACAAATAATTTAGCATCGATGATTAAAAATCTTATCCTATTGTTAGACAAACTGTCTGGTGTCGCGTCGTGTTATGTCGACAACAAAAAAGGGTATCTCTAATTATTTTATACTTTATTAATTTCGAAAATATTTATTTTATTTTCAACTAAAATAAACTATCTGAACTTGATAGATTCTACCAATTATAAGCGAACCAACCATTATCATTGGCAATAATTCAAAATAAAATGAAAAACTAACTTCTTTTTTGCAAGAATAAATACGACATTTTAAGATATATTTTATTTTTTGGTCCATATCTCCATATGAGGGCTCGGAAATTCAACACATATGTATATTATATATATATATATATATATTGGGTTGAAACTCTTTATTAAATGGGCCTTTCATGGTTTTCTTGGGATTAAACGGGCCGACGAAAATACACGCGCCCGTATCACGCGTGTATGCCACCGCCTCAATATAGTTCATGAAATCAGCTTGTTTTTTCATTAGCCTAATTAATATCCTGCAATTCGTGAGCGTGGGGATAGCTTTCGCCCACGTCCCCCGTTTCTCTCTCTCAAGTTTCATTCGGTGTTTCATTTTTAACCCTATTACATTTTACTAAAATAAAAAAATTACGAAAATTAAAAAATCTCATATTTTAGTAAATAAAAATAGTAAACTTTAAAATCTCATAACAAACACAAAATGTGTATACACATATAATATACATATTTTCAAAATATATTGATACGTAGATATAGTCACATAATGCATGCATGAGTGTGCATACATGTTTGGTGCATCGTAATGGGATTTTTCCATTAGATTTGTTAAATTGATGTGCAGCCGAAAAAGAAAAAACCATTTTTTTTCCCAAAAGACAATAAAGCATCCGACACTTCAATGTGACAACCACTGCGAACAAACCCAGCTGATGATATTACAACAAACAAAAAATGGGGAAAAAAACATAAACAAAGGCAAACACACAACACACAACACACACACACAAATATACAAAAGAAAAATTGAACAAAACAATGAGAGAGAGAGAGAGATAGAGAGACCAAACACGGGAAGAGAGACAAAACCGTAGAAGGTGGTGGAGAGATCACCATCACCACCATCACCATCATCATCATCATCACCATCATGTAGTTCGAGCTTGAGAGATGCGATTGGCGTAGATAGTGACGAGTCGAAGCTGAGTTCTTTCCCCATCATTATATATATCTCTACCAGACAGAACACCACCGTCTGCACCCCCCAACAAACATTCACACACAAAAATTAAATTAAAAAAAAAAATGATGTTAGTTTCAGAGAGAGGAATACCCTTTTCGGCATTATTATTACTACTACTGTTTACCTTTCGGACATCTGCACTTTGGTTCCCAAATGCTTCAAAAATCGCAGGCAAAAACGATGGCAACTCCGCAATTAATTCCTCTTGTGACAATCTCCCCACCAGCTGTATAGGTAGAGTAGATTACGCGAGGATGGAAGTGTAAATAATAAGCAGTTAAAGCTGTCTATTTATGCACATGATTATCATACAATGCACTACAGTACATGGACATGGTTATATACTCCAGTTTCCCAACAAAATAAAATATCTGAACCATATGACGAAGGCAATCTTATATGTTGTACAACTATTCAAGAATATATGTACATCAGATGTATGACAAAGTACCTTTGTTAAACAGTTGATGCAAGTGACAAGGGTTTTCTCATCTTCAGTTACCAATAACGGGGTAATAACCTGAAGCAAGTTGTCAAGATATCATCAACACATTTAGTCAAACAAGAAGGTGAAAAAAAAAAAAAAAAAAAAAAAAAATCAGGAAAAGAAGTAATTAGTGCATACACTTAAGGATCTGAAAGGATCATATTGTGACAACACTGTGGTCAAGCATTGCTCAGCCTCATTAGAAACCTGAAGACATATATGGTGACACCGTGAGATTATCAAGATTATGAACGGGATGATACCCAATAGTGTTTTTAGCATGGTTGTGCCTATTACTTTTGGAACTGCGTCCTTTGAGATATGAAGCAGCTTCTCAATCACAATCTCAACAGAATCTTCCATGGCATCTTTCTGAAATTATCAGGAAAAGTATCATAGTATGAAAATGCAGCTAGTAAATTCTAAAAACAGAAAACTATAATCCATGAAACACATTTAAGATTATTGATTCATCAAGTTGAGTAAGGTCATGGACCTGATTCTTGAGCATCTCGGTGATCAGCGAAAGAGCAAGCTCACAAATTGAAGAATCCTCATCGTCGAGCACTTCAAGAACAACCGTCAAAATTTGATTGAAGTACTGAGGAAGTGAAAATGGGAGACAGAAATTACGAACGAAAAACAAGTATGCAGTGAAGAAGAACCATTATGATACAAAAGATAGAGAAGAGAGAAAGAAACTCTGACAGATCTAGCCAGTCAAGTAGAAGTAACAGGAAGTTTATATCAGCTTGCTGTAGCATATTCAAAGCTTAACAGTTGTAATGAAATCCATCTGATCAATTTGATAATTTTCCAACATATTTTTTTCCCATTTTCTCCCTCTTTTAGACTCATGTGCATCACGTATCGCCTACTTATTTTTTTGCACATGCATTGCTTTCAGTCTTGCCGGTCTTTCAGTGAAAAGGATAAATGTCTTGTGTAAGTTATGAATGGTAAGGATCCAGTTGCTACATCAGAACCAACTGGTTGATCCTGGGATTATTAGCCATACCTTTGACCAAACTGATTCCTCATTAGCTACAGAGGCTCCAATTAATTGATGGAGTCCAGTTTTCTTACTCGTAGAAGGGCTTTCATCACTGCCATTGATCTGTTAAAAAGAATAACCATCAGAAACAACTTTTCTCTGATAGGTCAAGGATCATTGCATTTAAAATAAGCAAAGACAATGAATTACCATATGAAGAATCTGTGGAATGCTAGGACCAGATTCTGGTGTTGGGTTAACCTTAATACTCGCAAGCTTGAAGTGACTCAAGTCGAATTTGTGGGAGACCTCGTTTTCATGTCTTTCTTCCAAGGGATCACTATTAGTCAAATTCAGACCATTTTTCTCCCAATGTGATGGAGACATACTATCAAAGTTTCCGACATCATCCGAACTTTCATTGTGCATGGCTCTTGATAGAATATTCTGACCAGCTGAAGCAACTGTGTAATTTGTATCCTTGGGCTTTGATACATCACTACCAGAAGTAATCCCAATGTTCTGGTACAGCTTTTCCTGAGCTCCATTGGAAATACTTTGACCAATACCACCAGAGATCATTGTTGGCTCTCGAGAAGGGCTCCATTTCCTGCCACTATCACTATCGAGCGAACCCCCAGAATACCGACCAAGGAAGATACTCTTTTTGGAAGCACCTACATGTCCTTCTTCGGAAGATGTCCCGATAACATCAGATGGGTCATACGAAGATTTCATTCTCTGTTTTTCCTTTTTGTTCTGCAGATAGTTTATTAGGTCTACCTCAATGCGAGGAGTATATTGTTTGAGTGCCCTTCTCAAAGAGTTTTGCTCCTCAACTGATAGACTAAGAATGTAATTCAACAACCCAGATGAATCATAATGATTATATACAGATATGATGCAGGTAATCGCAGCTTCCTTTAACTTAGTATTTTTGTCGCGAGTTAGTGGTGTCAATTTTGCCAGCCACAGATTTAAGATTCCACTATTACCAGAAACTTCAGGATTACCAGAGTACCTGTTGAAGGAGTTGATTGCAAATTCAATGACAGCTAATTTAGCCTTTGGTGATCTCTGCTCATCTAGTGAACGAAGCAATGCAGGCAAAAGAGAATCCACACTGTAGGTTTTGCTGACAATCTCCAGTGTTGTAGAGCAAGGTTGTCTAACTAGTTCTTTAGGATCAATTAACCGTGAAAACACACGGGGTAGGATCCTTTCCATGTAGCTCTCAAAAGGCTTTCGGCAAGATGGTATAAGATCTGCAAGTGTCGACAGAGCTGCCTGTGCGACCTTGTGGTGAGGATCGTCCAAGTGACGTACAAAAAGTTTCATTACCTTCTCAAAACTCTGGATCACTTCTTGAACACCTTTTGGTCCTTGCTGCAGCAGAGATTGGAGAAAATTAAAAGCTGCAACTCTGGCAGACCAATCAGAACTCGGACAAAGTCCTTCATTAAGGGCTTCATTGAGAGATGCTGGACCATCGACATAAGTGGACATGTCCCCGAGTTGCAGTTGGCTGTCATCGAAGCTCCTCCTTCTGCCGGCTGAAACTCTTGCTCCTACATTCTTCCTCAAAAGTGGCCTCTGGAAATTAGGAACATAACTAGCATTTGAATCCCTGAAGTTCAAATCTCTGTAGGGGGCATCCATGTGTTGACTATCAAAATGACCACCCATAAACCGTCTAGCCTCCCTTTCATGGTTGTCCTCAAAATAACCTCTCTCTTGTCTCTCTGAGATCCTTTTATCTGTCAAGGATGTGAAATTAGGGTGGGACGCAGACAACAGATTGCCACGGCAAGATAGTCTTCCCGAATCCTTTGAAGCTTGAATTTGGGTAATGATATCTGACAAAACCAGACCACCATTGCGACTACTGCCTTTGTTGATACTAGAAGAAGTTGATTCACCAGTTGTGGAACTCGTGAGACTATTGGAAGCTGGGACATTAGCAGGAAATGGAGGATCACGAGATGATGGAGGGTCAACTCCTGCACTAGGGTAGATTAAAAGACAATTTAGCCGTTCATTGACATTCATCTGTGAGGATTTCAAGAACCAAAGCATACTTCACAAGGAAAGAAGCACAGTACCTAGATCCAAACTGCTGGAATGATGAGCTGCAGGATTACGTCTATCAGATATATCTAGACCTCTGAGCATACTTTCAATTGCGCTGACCTTCTGCTTACTTGATTGCAACACATTTTCCAAGCTACGTTCAGAACCTTTACCGAAACCCTTTGATTGAGACAAGAGAAGCCCTGAAGATAGGGATCCTCCAGTGGAAGTGGATAAACTTGAACTTCTATCCATGGCCACTATGGCTGAAGTTCCATAACCAGGCAGGTTAAGTGGAGCGGATGCCTGAGTAAATGAACGATGGGAGCTTCTTTCACGGACAGATGGCGAGGCATGTCTCCTATGAATTCCACCTTCTTCTTCATTAATCAGCTGAGGAAACATAGGAATGAGTTGGTTTATCAACTTTTTCAAGGCCAATAACAGGAGAGTTCAGTACACGTACCCTTTGGATAACAGGATCAAAGGAGGAAAATAAGCGACGAGAACGCTCAGGCCAAGTTTTTGCAAACAGTCTGTAGCACATTCGGGCAGTTGCCCGTACCTGCCATTCTACATGTTAAAATCTCCGCAATATGTAGAAGAATGAAAGAGATTGCCATAGAATAAACTTCTATTATTGAAAGAAAAGACTAATCATTTTGTACTGCTGCTACAAACATGGATCTCATTAAAAACTGGTTTACATCAAAACTTAAATGATTCTCTTCCCATACACATGGATTATGATATCATGAAAAAGCACAAAGAGGACCCAGATTGGAATTATTTGATATAACTACCTCACTCATAGCATCTGCAACACAGCATCTAATTAGATCTTCATATAAATCAGCTGACCGCTGAATTTCTGGAGTATCAGGCCAATGCTCGAGTATTAACAGCGCATATTCACAACACCTATGACGGAAAGTGATCAGCTTCAAAAAGCATCAGAAAATCTTATGGTTAACAAGAAGACTCTCACATACCTTGCTCGAAGAATTGCGTTACGGTCATTCTTTGCAGAATCAGCTACACGAGGAAGTACACGGGCAACTTTGCAGTTGCGCAGCATCTGAATGATATAAAAGTATTCGTATAAGCCCAACACTTGGGAAAAGAAAAGACAGCTGTCTTAGAAACTGAAAGAACAAAAATTTAATACCGTTTTTATGCAGCTATCAGCAGATTCTGCAATTACAAGCACAGTGATCACAACTAGCTTGAAAAGCACCTGATTACCATATCATAAAATTAACACGAACATATATGCATTATAAGCTATAACAATAAATGACACGATGTTAAACGTACCGGAATGAACATCTCAGCACATGATTCAAAGTCTCCCAGGAGCTCTTTCGATAAGAAACATAGGAGATGGCAAGCCTAAGAAAGGACCCAACAGCAGCTTAGCATCAGAAACAGTTTTAAGGAATAAAGACAGAGGCAGGCGCAAGCTTGTCGATACTAGAGCAGATACTGATGCATTCATCTATTTACTGCTCTTCCAGACTGAAACTGTATCCACTAGCATCATGCACCATATAGTTTAACTATCCGTTAATAATAGTTTACTGAGATTAATTTTCCTTTAAGAGAGTACCAGATGAAAATGTTTCTAGTTAATTTTACCTAACAAGATTCTCTCTCCTTTATTGGGGATGGAGAAAATCCCATAGCAGATTCTAAATCCTAGAAAATAGTATCATAGAAAAACCTAACGTTGATAATTTATAACTAACCTGCTTAACAATGGTAGATCTTCGGTCAGACAATTGTGTGCTCAAAGGACCAACAAGTTGCTTCAAGAGAGCTCGAAAGCAAGGGTAGTCGGCCGCACCTTAAGAAAAAGGTTTCCATAAGATAAAAGCGATGATTAATAAAAGAGATTTAGCACACAAGAAAAATACGTGTTTTATAGGCACGATAAGCTCCAAACATGTTGCTTCAAGAGACCTGGATACAGATACACATTGCTGCAAAGTTGACAAAAATTAAGAACAGGGATAGAGTAGGATATAGTTGAACTACCTCCTGCAACAAGGCCTTCAATCCTCTGCATAGCTGCTATACGAACTGACCAATCTTTATCCGGGACAAGAATCAAAGCAATTTTCTCAAATTCCCTGATCAGTTCCTTCTCTGAGTACACTTTGATTGGCTCAATGGGTTTCTCCGTGATATCCGGTTCTCCTGAAGTGCAAAGAGGTAAAGCCATTCAGCCGATATGGCAATAGTACAACAGCGCAGAAGACTTATATCCTAGAGAGAGAGAAAGAACATAACCCCCAAATAATGAGTTCTCCCTCATAGAAGTCTTCGCCCTGGGACTGCTTTTCTTGTGATTGATACTTGGTGCCTTAACCTCACTAACAGCATGATTAACACTAAGCCCATCTGAAGTATGCTGTTGCGGTTCTATCCTCTCCAGTCTAGCATTAATATCTTTCACCTGGTAATTGCAAAACCAGAGAAAGAGATATAGGTGGTCCAAGACTTCAAATCTTCTTTTTAAATTTTTACAGGGAACTATAACATCATTATTAGCTACAAATTACATAGCTTGTCAATTTTGTCCTTTTCTTAAATTAAGCATACTGAATTAAGATGGAGATGGACATTTAAAGAAAAAGGATTGCAATAAACATTGTCTGACTGTGCATGGATCAGTTTTGAACCGAAACTCACCATAGATGATGGAAGATGGTGGCGCTGAAGTTCTTCTCGGAACTGAGACCCACCCTGCGTATACATCTCCTGGAAAAGAATGGAATAGCAAGATGAACAGCAAATAAGAAAAGAGTGCTTATAGCCGTATACACCACTGAGTCTACAAAGACAAAAATAACCAGAACCCCATGGAAACACTAATGGAACTTCATTGGCTTCAACATAGACTGACTAAAGACGACGGGAAGTCAGCGTACACAACTAGGTGTTAGAGTTTTGCTTAACAGATAGGATACAAGATTAACTAACATATGGGGTTTACAGAATATTTGAACATCTAAATAATGAATCAGATGCCAACCCAATTAAGGAAACCATTCGATTAATTAGAGAACAGGGTAAACCCAATGCAGAAATGCCAAGCTACAGCGAACTCACCTCAATGCACAAAATTGCAGCTTCCCTAACAGCATGATTTGGGTCATTTAACATTTGGAGAACCTGATTAAAAAAAACAAAGTTCAATCCCACCTGCCTCAGATCAATCAATATAACAAAACATCATTTGTTCTCGACGAAAACAACTGATAGAGATACCGGAGGAAGTATAGCCCGCTGAAGCGGAAGCTCCGTAGATGCAAAAAGCCCAATAGCCGATGTGACAGTACGCGCAAACTCTTCCCGAACTCTCCAACTCTTATGCATCCAAGCATACGAACCCGCTCTTTCTACTATAATCGTGGGAGAAGAAACCTAAAACGTTCATCTCAATCACTCCTCCGTCAGTGGTCTATAAGAAACGCAAATGCTCATGCCGAAACATGATTCGAATTCCTTTAATTCAGAAGAACTTACCTCCATTAGAGTAAGCAGCAAGCGCCTCGCGGCATCCCTAACGGGCTGTTTAGCGTCGCCGAGCCGCTCGACGACGGCGGGCACAAGGGCATTCAAATGAAGCTTGAGATGTTCTCCGGCGAGAACGGCGGCGGAGGCAAGCGCTTGAAGCGCTCCCTGGGAGACCCTGAAATTACTGTCCTTGAGGAGATCCAAGCAACAATCGACGAGTGATGTCACCTCCGCCGGGCTTAGGCTCCTTCTTGAAGCTTCCAGAAGTTGGTGTAACCGCTCCACAGCCGCCATGCGCTCTTTCGTGTCCTTCGCACGCGCCAGTTCAAGCGCCTCCTCCATCGCCACGGCCGACGGTTTCCACTGCTCCGATCTGGGGCTTCAACGGTCAGATCTGCGCAGTTCCCGTTCAGATTTCCCCTATTACCGGAACACCAACCGATCGATCCGGCAAGGAGACCGAAGATTCGGACTCAGGATTCAGGATTCAAAGAGTGTGTTATGTAATGAAATGTGTTAGAGAGAGGAAAACAAGGGATTTAGCGGAGAAGTGCCGCCTAATTTACTAGAGAGATGAGTAAAGGCAACAATAGACTAAAAATCAAGATGATAAAAGAAAGCGTGTAGTTGGATCGTAGGGAATGATTATGCCCTCAGCTGTAGGCATTAATTACAGAGACTGCCACTGAACGCTCCATCTTAGAAAATGGTCCGAGTAACCTAACCATTGGTCGGGAACCGGGTCCAGACGCGTAGTGATATTGGTCGGGCGGTTCAAACCATTGGGCCCACTCCCCCCAATAACGGCAAAAATTAACCTCCCATTTAGCACCTTTCTTTCTTTCTTTTTTAAAAATTTCCCGATATATATATATATATATATATATATATATTATTAAAATTTTAATTAAATGTGAATGCTCTTCAAATTTGTTTTATTTCTTATTTAGATGACTCAAATAATTGATTCTTTAATACTGATTATATCATTTTGATCAGGTCTATCTTTCTTCTAATTTTGTGCATGAACCAATATAACCTCCAAGTTCTTGGTTATGTATGTATGTATGTATGTATGTATGTATGTATGTATGTATGTGAATGAATGAATCATTGAATTTATATAGTGGTAAGGGAGAGAGATGAAAAAGCGGAGTTGCTTAAGATTCAATTAACATGTCACATCTCCCCATCACAGATAACTAACATTGGCATAAAAACATCTGCAGGACACAACCACCTTTCAAATCCTTCGTGTGTCGTACCAACCGCACTACATATATATAACTTGCCTTATTTATTTATTTAGTTAAATTACATAACCATTTACTCTTACAAATCACAAATATATATATATATATATATATGTATATATATATAGTATGCAACGGCTATGACTAAAACACAGTAGATGGATATTATTAAGGATGAGTATTTCGGGTTTCGGTTCGGATTCGAATTCGGTTATTTCGGTTATGAAAAACCTATAATCATTCGGTTTTTATATGAATTTTAATTTGATTTGGTTCGATTCGGTTTTTTGTTGTAAAAAACTCATTTTTCAAAGAAATTATCGGTTTTTTCAGTTACTTTTTAATCGGTTCAATTTCGATTTTTTCGAGTTTAAAAAAAATATAACCGTTCGGTTTTTATATAGAGTTCAGTTTGCTTACGGTTATATCTTATTCGGTTTGGTTTTTCGGTTATTAACCGAAATGGTCACCCCGAAAACAAAATAATACTAGCATTATTCCATTAAAAAAATGTAATACAATAGGATGTCGGTTAATGAAAGGGTTGTTTGGGTATTATTCCTTAGAAAGTGAAAGAGCCAAGCTTCATGACGAAGCCATGCCACCAACTCTTCTCGCTCATCCCAACCAACTGAACATGGTCTCGTACACAATAATTATGATTATTATAATAATACGACAACTAAACAAAAAAAACAGGATAATTACTTGGCATTCTAGATTTTTTTTCAGTGGTTATAGAATGCATAAAAAAAATTTAAATAAGAGATTAAAAATTTAATCATTTACAGCAATTTGGAAAATCTTGTCAAAACGTCCGGTAACATTGAACTAGAAATCATTAGAAACATGGCATGATGCGATTAGTGATTACCCTTTTCAGTTTTGCCATGCTAAATAAAAAAATTATAATATCCTGCAATTTCACAGATTTCGAAGAAAAGCTAATTACTTTTCTATTAAAAAAAAATTAAACACGACACTAGAAAACCAAAAGTAAATCAGAGTTACAGCTCATACGGATCTTTTTGTTTGACCATCCATTGACCTGGATCTGGACCGGTCAATTTTTAACCGAGTCGACCGTACCAGCCGGTTTAACCGTATGAAACGTACCAATGTGTATACCAAACATACCGATGGAATTCACCTGTAAAGAGCCATGGAAACGCCATGGCCTAAGGGTCATCATCGTACGGAACGTTGGAAGCAGGGGACTTGGGCAAAACGAAGATAGGTTTCCCATTGCGTTGGAACTCATGAAACAGAGGATGATCATTATCAGTTCTATAGCTACAGCTGTTCCCAGTCATGTCAATGCTTTCAAGATCACCTAACACAAACGGTTTGCACAAAAACTTCCATGAAAACATACATACATATATATATATATTCGAGAGAAAAAGCGAAAAACTTTGGAATAAAAATCATGTTTTGTACCTTTTGTGGATTTCAGGGAAGTGCATAGCAAAGACAGTGATTCAGAGGGCATGAGATTGTAAGACGTGTCGGCTGACAAGAGTTTCGGAGCCAAAGGTATGAGCTTTGACAGAAATCTTGCAGCCTCGAGCCCTCCTCGGTTTTTGCTGAAAGAAACCCAGATTAGAAACGTAAAAAACCGGCTAAAGAAATGAAAAAGAATGGCATAGGAAGTGATCGGAAGCTATATGAAGCAGAGGAAAGAAACCGAGTTTAGTATATTTTCACCTTATATTGATGTTGAGAAGCATCATCAACTCTTTCACAATCTTTCTCTGTAGCTCAAGAAACCCGATAGATCCAAGCCCCATACCTGAAATATTGAGAGACTGTATGGGACTTGCGAGGAAATCTCCTATAGCATCTGCAACTCCACTGGAGATCAAAATGACGAAATTTAAAAACTTTCATGTTAACCGTCGATTTGTTTGAAGCTTGTTTTCATTGAATTAGCAAGACTAACCTGCCGAGAGCATTATCAGCAATGGAGAGGGACTTCAACGGTTTCTCCAACAACGAGAGTGAGTCAAGAAGATCAATTACTCCGTCACATGATAGCTCACAATTCTCCAGGTTCAAATTGGCTAAAGGGTACTCCGGATGATTCGTGAAATAAGATATTAAGCTTCTGTTACAGTTCAAGGTACGCATGTAAGGAAATCTAATGCCAAGCAGCAGATTTCTCCATGGTTTCAATCTCAAAAGAGATGAACTGACCTGATTCCATCATCTTCGATGGGATTATCGCTTAGATCAAGAGTTTCCAAGTTAGGCATGTGGACGAGAGCATGGGCAAGATTCTCGGCATCTGATTTGTTCAGATCATTTCCCCTATGGAACAGATAAGTAGACATTTAACGGGATTTCCAGGAATAAAAACTGTAAGAAATTCCCTCTTTTTACAACAAAATACCTCAAGCTGAGCACATGTAGTGATCGTAAAGACCTCTCGGCTAACAGAGAATCAGCAGCAGATCTCCAGTTGAAAGTTGAAAGCCATCCTGAAATCTGCCTTGTCACCCCGTACGTTATGCAAAATGCGAAACAGATCACTATGAACAAGAAGAAGAATCATGGGTACTCACATTGTTTTCCGAGAGGTCGAGGGAAGAAAGGTTTGAGGAGGAATCAAGGAGGACAGAGAAAACCGTTCTTGCAAAATGCCCGTCAAGGAGGCTATCACAGAATTTTAAAGAAAGCAAGGACCTGAAGAAAAAAAACAGAACAAAGAAGAAAAGAAAATTACGTTAAACAAACTATGAAGTTCAACAAAAAGGAAATGTCTGATAACCAAATTGAACTACGATGTACCTTCCGGATTTCAGAAACGAAATAAAAGCAGAAGGAAATGAGACAGGATCCATTTCAAGGCTCGATGTCTTGATGGAAAAATGTTGCATTCCATTTGTGTGCATATCCTTTTCAAGAAGAGATGTGCAGATTGCATTCATCACACTTGGAGAAAGCTTACAGTGAATAAGTTCTAGCGAATTTAATGTTTCAAGATTCTGGGTCAAGAGCTTGCACAAGGGCTCAACCTGTCATAATATTGCAGATCATCGGCATATGGAAATCCAAATTACCAAACATAGGAGAAGAGGGAGTAAAAATGCATTACATGCTCCTCGGATCTGATCCACCGGATAACCAAACTTTGCAGTTTACAGGCCCTCATCAGTTCCTACAATCAAACAACACAACCATCATATCACAGTGAAAAAATAAAAAATGGATACTGCTCGAGAGAAAATGAGACAGCTTTAAGCATGAGAAACACCTTATTGAAGCCACACTTACACAAGTTTCTGTATTACAAAACACATTCAGAAGTCTTAGACATCTGCATGAGGTAAGAACACAAGGAATTAGCGTAGCCCAAAAATAAAAAGGGATAGAGACAGAACCTTCAAAAGATACAAGTATATAAAGACCATATGTAACTATGAATATAAGCGGATAAACAAATGTTGCAAGCAGCTCCTAGAGAGAGTTACTCATTGTTGTTATAAGTTACACAGATCAGATGTATTAGCTTTACCTTGCGTAAGATCCGAATTTCATGAAATGAAAGGATAGTTCAGTGCAATCACAATTTCGGAAATTTGCATGGTCTTCATGACAAATGTACCTGAGTATATTATCTGCAACAACAATGTCGGCAAATACGGCTATATTGAATACAATAGTTGAAAAAGATTAGTTCTTTCTAAACTTTTCATAGATTATGCGTCATCGAATGGTACCTGATATGTTTATACAACCTATACGACCACTGAACAACGGGCGGAGAGCTGCTTCAGCCGCTTCATCGAGGCAACTGTGAGTAATGAAAAACTTAGAATAAAAACTAAAATTGATGTATTAGAGCTACTTCCATTAGATGGGCATACTTTTGTAGATGTCTCTCCCAGTAGATTTGCTGCCAGTCACCAGATTTCGCACTATCAACGAGCTCGGGCCAGCGTAGCTTAAACAACTTCTTCCAAGCTCTATGGAATTTCTCGTTTCTGCAAAGGAACATGGCTTTACTTCCCAAATACATTTGTTCTGTTTCAGCTCAATTACCGAAAGGGAAAAGAAACGAAATTGAAAAAGATTAGACTTCATTTGACCTTCCACGTTTTCTACCACTCTTCAAGCAATCATCAGTGAGTTCATAGTCATCCCAGCTCTTGAATGGCCTATTCGAATTTTTAAGAAATGCAATCAGATATGGTCAAGAAATTGCCGCAGCAAATGCCAAACACATTACGAGCTTTTAATATCCACCGTATCTAAAACCCTAAAACGCGAGGGAAAAGAGAACAGTTAGAACACTTTCCATGGGACTTCTGCTTCTAGAACCAGGAATTCCTCAAACTTAAGAGAACCACTGACTAAACAGAACCCAAATTCGGAACAGAACAGAAACTGTCTGAAATGAAAATCACGTTTTTGGTACCGACATGTCGGTCTGCAGATTCTGCAGGGCTAATGCTGGTAATTGAGCAATCAAATCTCCAAATAAATGCGGCGGAAGCTCGTAGACATCGGGTATTGGATTATCACAGCCTAACAAAGACAGAACCCAGCTAATATCAACACATTTCGAACCAATTTCCGCTATTAAAAATCGGAGGTTCTCTGGATGTAACTTTGATTTTGTTATGAATTACCTCTGAGGAGCTGAGTTTTGATTGATTGGATGCAGAGAAACACCAGAGATGGAGCTTTCTCCATTCCCGAAACCTCCAAATGAGACACGCAGTTACAAATTTCACGGAGGAATTCGATCTCCGGAATCTCAAGTTAGAACCCCAGTAGAATCGAACATAACAACACGAAACTCATCACAACAGCAACCTTCAGACGGAAAAATCTCGGGTGCTTGCTCCTATGAGAATTTTCTATGTAAGAAGTTAAGAACCAGAATTCCTGGGAGGCGTCTGCTATGTTCTGTTCTGTCTCTTCATTCAGACTGTTTTTCAGCGACGCCATTTCATGAACAGAAGAATTTAAATTATCTTTTCAGCATTTAACGTTTCATAATTGTCAAAAGAACCCCTATTCTTTTTCAATAGCATTTAACACCCCTAATTTACCAAACATTCGTAACTTATTTTAATGCGGTTTTACAAAAACAAAAACAATTTTTTCACCTTATATTTATATGAAGAAGCCCAATTTTAAATTTTTTCCTCGGGACTGACAAAAATAAATAAATTTTTTGTGCGCCATACCATATCCGAAGATTCACTATCGCCACTTCTCACATACCAAAACCAACCAATCACATCTTCGGATTGTTTCTGTACGTAGCAAATATTTTGCTTTCTCCACGCGGAAAATGTAGATCGTGTGCGCCAACAGAGGAAAACACAAAGGCGACACCTTTACAAGACCAACTTCGAGCAGTGCTTCGTGAAGACAGCTTTTGCCGTATTCTGCTTTTCTTTCCTCACTGGTCTTCAGACCATAGGATCAGTGGGAGTTTTCTCTCAGAGATCGAAATCGAGAATTTGAGCGAGAAATGCGGCGGAACTGCTGCCATGTCTCGTTCGCCGCCGTTCTCAAAATCCTCAATTTCATGCAAGCGTTCTTCGGCGTATCGATCATAATCTACTCGATATGGATGCTCGATCAATGGAACCGTGGTGTCCCTGTGGATCCTCCGACGGCTTCTTCGTCGGAATCCTCGTCCTCGTTCTTTGATCATGATCTCGTGGCGGGTGAGGGTCCCGGGTTCAATCTCCTTTCGCTGGACTTTCCTTCTCCATGGTACTAAAAAAATTTCCCAAATTTAGAGGTCTCCAGTTCTTTTCAAATCTGATTTTGATCCCTTATCAATGAATAAACAAAAAAAAAACTAGAAGCTTTAAATGCTTTAAGGTGAAATTTAGGATTAGACTATTATTATCAGTTGGATTCTGAACAGAGTTTGACTTACAAGAGACTTGAAAGTTTGGCCTTTTGGGTCTATCGTAGTTTTTCTCTAATTCTTACAATCAGAACTGTGTTCACTGTTCACTGAACTGACTTCAGTTTACAGGAGACTTGAAACCTGTTGCTAGATTCTCCTTGTCTGGTTACACTTCTGTTGGTTGCTGTTTGGTTCTTTTGACTTGTTTCCACCGTTCTTGATTGTGGAGGGTCATCTACTTGTTTATGGGGGTTGGCATTTTGGTCTGCATCGTCACTTTCATTGGTCTCATAGCAGCTGAAGCTATCAATGGCTGTTGCTTGTGCTTTGTATCCTTCTACAAAAACATAGTTTGCTTTTTTCTGGCTCTACAGATTTTGGGTTCAACCGTGTGAGAAATGTCGGGATAGTTTTGGATGTATTCCTTGATTGGTTTTAAGTGCTCTATCCTAAAAACTGTGCTCGTTCTACTAGAAGCCGCCCTTGTTGGATTCATAGCTATCGATCGTCATTGGGAAAAGGCGAGACCTTTCTTATGTCTGAAGCTGGTTTCCTGTTATGACAGCCTTTGACTATGAAGGATCTTCCATATGATCCAACTGAAGAACTCGACGGCCTTCGAGCTTTCATAGCGGAAAAGATCGATATGTGCAAATGGGTTGGGATTGCTGTGGTGGTGGTTCAGGTAAGTTGGTCTTCTGTTCTGACATTGCATATATCGGAATTTTATTTTACATCATTCCGACTTATCCCCAAAAAACTTGAACTGTGTGGGAAAAGGGTGACGAAAGATGAGGTTACAATGATTTGAGTTTGGTATATTCATACAGTTTGAGTATTGTTGGCAGCTTCGGTCATTGATACTGGCGATGGTCCTTAGAGCAATGGTTTCAACCCGAAGATCTGAGCTCGAAGATGAAGAGGAAGACTATGAGAACCCGAGGAGTAGAGCTCGGGACCCTCTTCTCGGCTCATCGCAGCCAAACCAAGCTTCGGCTCGTCCAAGCAAGATTGACAACTGGAGCTCTCGTATGCGAGAAAAGGTAAACGAAAAAACCGTTTTTATTTATTTCATTTTTTGCCTTGTTACCATGCCCATCAAGGTCCATGACAGTATGGACTGAGCAATGGTCTGAATCAGAGTTCATCAATCAACACAAAATGCCAATTAAACGAAAATGGATCAGAGCCGTCCATCCATGATGGTGAATTTGCTCTCTCTCTCTCTCTCTCAAGTGTGCATAGAAAGCTTCCACTGGGAAGAGAGTCTCTGTCCTTTAATATCTCTGTTTGCCAATGTTAATTGTTAGTATCTGTATCTGTATCTGTATCGTAAAGCAGAGGAAAGGACGTATTTATTGTCACTGCTGAGTAATTTAAATATTAAACCTCTCCTCAATGTTACATTTGACATCATCTTCACATCTGCCTCTCTTCCCATTAGTTCATTACATAGCTTCACACACACATACATATGTCTGTATATGTGTGTGTGTGAAATCTGGTGTATTGGGTTGCCTCTCTCACCGCGTAATAAGATCGATGACTGTCTCCTCTACGAGCTCTTTCAGCAACTTCCCTTCGATTTCGAGCCCCAAGTCGTCCATTTCGAGTCTCAGGCCGTCGAGCCATGTCCTCCCGACTACGTCGTCCCTCACTACTCTCTCTGCAGCTACGCTGTTCGGTTCCACAGTCTCGCCCTCTGAACCACAGAGCCACCCTTTCAACTGGCTCCAAGCAAGGTCCACCATGTCCAGCGTCAGGTTGGTCCGTGCACATGTCATCGTTGTTGCTGTTGTTGTTTCTGCTATGATGGCATTGACACGGTCGAATATCAGCTTTCGGTTTGAACGCTTCTGCCTTCTTTTCGACTCATGGATCGGATCCTTATTGTTGTCTTGGTCGGTGTATTTATCTCTCAGTGAAGGGTCTAAGGGGCTCTCGGGTGAGTGCCACCGGACCAGAAACGGGTCAGAGGAGACGCTTCTGCCGAGACCTGCATCGGTCAAAAGCGTTTCTACGAAGAAGTACCAGTCTTCATCGTCTTCCTGGATCACTGTTTCGGGTCTATTTTTGTCTGTGGATAAGTCACCGTCCCACAAGAGTGTCCGAGCGATCGATCCAATCGGAGGTGATTTGTCGATCAGATTGGGTTTCAGAGACATCTCCAGTCCTGTCAGAAACAGTGGTTCCCAAGTGTAAGAGAAAGATGTCTTGTAAAACTATGGTCGGATGCTGGAATGGAGAACAAACCTTGGGACCTCAGCATGGATAGTAAATAAGATTCTGGAATCCCGATGCTTTCCTCTTCAAACGACGGCTGTAGAACCGAGATTGGACTTGGCTGGTCCAGATTTTCACCTGCATTCCCAGCCATTGGCAGCTTTGATGAACTCGGTTCATCCTGCATACAAAACTATATATAGCTTCTGATTAAAACACGAGAGTGAGTACCTAGGGTTCATCCTGCATACAAAACAATAACGTGAAATCATGAAAATACCTCGCTAGGAAATAGGTTTCGTCGTCCTAATGCATCGTGGGACGGGCAGTTTTCACAAGTTCTCCCGGGGAGAGGCATGATAGGAGAAGTCTCATTTCTGGACTGAGAAACATCGGTTTTTTGATTGCTTGCTTTCTTATTCCTGGAGAAGAAAAAGTTTGAGACTTTCCATGATGATTTCAAGCTTACCTCCATGGCAGCCTCTGCCTTAACACCAGGAGTCGACTTTGATCTCGCAAAGGTTTTCAGAGGACCGTTTGAGCTTGCCTCTGGACTCAAATTACTGCTTATGCATGATGTTGAGGCTCTCGCCTCGTTATTCTCTTCGGTTGGACCTTTGGTATCTGAAAGTGAAAGCATTTCGCCTAAAGTGCTTGAGGTTCTCGGGATGTATTTCTGCTGCTGAGTGCTCCCATTAAGTGCCATCAATGCCCATCTTTCAGAAAGCCGCTTCTTCGCCTCTCTGCATACCGACGACTCTGGAGAGAAGGAGGCTCGGCTCAAAGATGAGGAAGAGAAGGGACTGCCACCGATCCTGTTCAGACTGTCCCATGAATGCCTAGAGACTGGCGACATGATCTCGAAATTCTCGAGATTTCCCATTGGATATTCTTCACTATCAGACTTCTCGAAAGAACTGTTGTCACCAATATAGCCATTGGACAAGATGGAAGAAAACAGAGTCTCGCTCCTCTGGTGACCCATCAGATTTTCACGCATTTTCTGCGTTATTTCCCTTGCCGCTACTTTTGACTCTGCATCTCCACCAGGTTCATCAAAACAGTGTGAAGATGGAGATGAAGCCAGAGCTTTTATATCTAAATCTTTCCCTGGACTAGGCTTCAGGACAACTATTCGGGTTGGCTGTGCACCGTATTCTTTGGCCGGTTGGTTGAGAAAAGATGACGAGCGACCCGGGTAACAGTTGTCCCATCCAGTTCCATGAACGGATTTCTTGATCTGTTTGTTCCTCTGGTCTTGTACCACAGACTTTTCAGTATCAATAGCCTTCGAAGGTCTCAATACTGTGATACGTTTCGTCTCAGGATGTGGAGGAAGAGGCTGAAAATCAGATAGATGCTGAGAAAAGAACGAATTCGATTCCTGGAGAAATTTGACAAACAGATCCTTGTTGGAACTCAAAACTTCCACGGCATCTTGGAACTCCTTGGACTGGTGAAGCTTCTCATCCGTTACCAATCGTTTTCCTTCCATGAATTTTTTACGGACAATATCTCTCTGTTTCTCTGTCATGATCTCATCATCCCTCGAACGGTTTGCATTCTGAGGCAACTGCCACATTTCGCATACATCTTTGAGTTCTCTGCTGCTTTCCAATGAACTTCCTGAATTACTCGGTGAATAGCGCGAATAGCTACTGGATTTGCTACTCTGTGAAATAGTATTATCGAGCTGCAGCTGCGGAAAAGTATCAAGACCCATTAACTTGGCGACCACATTGGTGGGGCTCTGTTTATGTTCTTCTTTCGACATTTCTTGAGCAATGAGTTTCTTCATTGGTGTACCATTTGAAGCACTTCTCCTCAAATTGGACATAATCTACACAAACATCGAAAGCACAAGAAGACATAAGATTCAGGGACTGTAATATAAAACTTCAAGTGCATAAATAAGGACAAGAAGTCTGAGTTTAAATAAATATTCTCACTGGTGTTTTCCAGCAGATTTCTAATTATTAATCAAACTTTACCAGTTCATCTTCTGTATGGTCTCCAGAGGGTGGACTCGGCATTTGGGCCACATCGGATTGACTCCTTGACAGAGAGGATGCTGCCAACAAACTACCTCGTGTCATTAACACACTGGTGAATATAAAATCTCGATACTCAGAGTCTAAAGATAATAGGACATAAAACTTGATGCACATCTTATGGAGTGTCAGAAATTATAAAAGGAAAATACATCTTTGATAATAATATGAACTCCAAGGTGGTAGAAGTGACAAAATTGGAAGATGCGAAGAATCTCCGCTTGACGAAAAACACAGATGTTAAAGTAGACGACCTTATGAACAACTAATCAGAGGGTAAGAGGAAGTCGGTCTATGACTAATACTTCACATATGAGCAACACAACTAAACTGGTCACTTGTTCAAGGCAAAAGTTAACATTTTCGCAAAATGTTTTTGCGTGACAAAGAAGATTACCGTAACGATGTGGTTTATCAGTAAGCAACTTGTTTCCACTACCAGCTGTTCCCAGATCGAAGAGGTTTACCATCCTTCCCAGGCATCCAGGAACCGGGTTTTCCATCTTTTGAATCTCTCTGCTGTTCAGTCCATTCATTTGGATCTCTGCAGTTACACATTCCACCAAATTTCCGTGTAAGTTATCATCTTGGGAATTGAAATGGCACGAAAATGAAAGAATGTTGATCCATGGATGAGAGAAGAGAAGTGGAAATCACACCAATACGGGGAAACAACTTCCTAGAGGTACAGAATCGGTTAAACTAAGCTCTAGCATCAACGAATGACAGAACTGATAACTAGAGGTTCCCAAAGAAAAAACTTTCGGTCTTTGAAGCTTCAAAAGTGAAACAATTTGGAAAGAGAGCAACACAGAGAGGCTACTGAAATGCAAATTTCAAACCAAAAAAGATGCAGAGAGTGGGATAAGTGGAGGAGGAAGATGACGGAAGAACAGACAATATATAGTAGCAAAGGAGAAAAAGCCAAACAACACAAGACAAGGGTTTGGTCAGGAAAAAGGAGAATAAGATGCTGTAATCACAGCGACGGTTCATACTGTCTGAAAAAAGGAAAGAAACCCAAAGAACCCAATTCCTAATTTCTCATGAGCTATCACAATCGGAGACAGAAACTTATCAAGCTCTGAACAAACTCCTAGTAAAAGAGACGACTCGGCTGTAACTCACCCTCTTCGGAGCCAATGAGTTACAAGAAAAGATCTCCGACTATAAATGCTAAGCCCTCACCGGATCTGCATTAATCAGATTCCCTGATGAAACTCTTGTACATGCAAACAAACCCCATCAAAGACAGTACATGTGTACTCGTACGCAAGTGTGTGTGTGTACATGCGTGTAATCAAAATCAACCGCTAACAAGTGAAGCATTAGAACAGTGATTAAAAAGTGCTGTAGATTGATAGTACATTGACTAAACAGAGCAAATCGACAAACGAAACAGTAAGTCGGACCGACCGAATTAGCTTAACCCAATCAAAAATCGAAGAAGAAAAGCAGAAAAGCTGGAATATCCACTGCAGGTCACGAAGAACAAAGTTACCAAAAAAAAAAGCAAATCTACAGAGAGAGAGTAAAATCAGAATCTATTTCAACTAATAACACGGAAAAGCAAAAGAACTCGCCACAGGCAAAAAGAAAAAAGCATGTGAAAGTGAGATCAGAGCGAGAAACAGAGGAAAACAACGCCATTTTTTTGCTTTAAGCGTAGAGAGAGAGGACCTGTACCAACATTGTGAGCTCCGTCGGCGGAGATGTCGCCGGAGATTTCGCAGGCCAGGAGAAGCTCCGACTAGGGCCGATTTGGCGACGGACGCGAAAGTTGTTTGAATAAATTATAGTTAAATTAGGAATCTCGCGTACAGACAAACTTATGGGGAGAGAGAGCGAGAAGAGAATGGGGGCAGCCAGTCCGTTACGTACTCCTTGTTTTATTTAAATGACTATTTGTTTATTTACTGTTATAAAATGTTTTGATTTGAAAAATATATTTAAAAAAATTGAAAAAAAAGAAATCAGAACTAAAAATAAAAAAATTGGAAACCTTCTGGATGGGTAATCAGGGTTCATGGATTATTTAAAAAAACAACAGTATTAAAGAAAATGCATGGTAATTATAGATTATAATGGCATGTTTATCATATTGGTAAATTTATTTCTGTGTTTTTTAAGTATTTCTATCAACGTTAACCATGATTTTATAATGAGCTTATACCAACACTTTCACCATTCTGCCCTAACTTGTTGAGGTTAGAGTGTTGAAATCACACCACCAAACGTACGGAACCATCATCCACTAATAATAATAATAAATAATATTTGCTAATCGTGTATGATTAGCGTATAATAAATCTTAGATTAGTTCATCACGTAAAGTGGGTCGACAAACCCCAATCAATCTCCATGACCAAATTCAATATCTCGGTTGCTTAATTATTCGTTTTACAGAAATATGTTTCCGTTAAATGAATTAGCCTCCTCGACTATATTTATTAAATTCACATATAATTATAGTTGAATAGAACTCAGCGATCCAAAACATACATGCATAAAAGGTATTTGAGATTTCTTAGAACATAAAGATTGGTCTGGATTTTGGTCCAAGATTTCCGGTTATAAAAAAAATATTATCATAATGTTTTTTCTTTACTTTTGTCAAAAATGGAAAAAGCCAAAGCAAAACTGTTATCCCATGCTGTGGGTTGAAGAAGACTTTCACTTATATGACTTCTCCATTTTCAACCCAACAATAATGTTTATGTTTATCTAACAACACATTTTCAACAACCACATTGCTATGACCTAAATAAGATGAAGACTTCCTCTGCATTTTATTTGGTAATGATGATAATACAACCGATTCTTGCATTTTGAGAAATTAAACTATATATATATATATATATATACGTCTTTGATATATCTTAAATTATCTAACTTGATCGCAGTAAACTAGTTTAACAATCCTTGTGGATACCAACCCGAAATTTTAAAAATAAAAAAGATAAAGTGTAAATATGGTATGAATCATGATCTCATAGAGCTTTTTTGGGAACTTTTTGATGCTCATAAAATGGATAGTACAATATTGAATAACTATTTTGACATTGAATTATGGGGATTATGAAATTATGTGGGCGGAAAAAACTTTGATAAGATTGATGAAATGAAGATGTCTTTTCCCGGAGATTTGCATAATGATTATTCTATGATTAAAATTATACACCCTTTTGTACTTTTTTTTAAAAATAATAATAAGTTTAGAGTCACGGGCAGGCCCAGTAAAACCGAATCACAGACCAAACAAAGCAGCCCACATGTACAACTCCACAAACTTTAATATAGAATATAAACTTTTATCAATATCGAAAAAAGAAAAAGAATTTATCAACCATGAAAATTTCAGACATCCTAACCAATGCACATTCGAAAGATTCAAATAAATTGAATCCAAGCTATGAATGTATATCGACAATAATTCAACCGTCAGTCAAATGCGGAGGTTGGTTAGTGTGGTTATAGCTCTTCGATTATTTCGAAGATTGCTAAAAAGTTTAAAAAGACGACGTAAGCAGAGGAGGAGATGAGATGACGTGGCGGGGTGGGGGCCACGGACAGCGTTCGTGCACGAGTCCCTCACGAGTTGGGGGACGGACAAGCCTGTTGTGTTGGCAGCTCCTATTTCTTTTAGGCACTTCAATTAAATATTTCAACTGAGATTTCTATGTATTTTTATTATTGCGATTGTTGCTGTCTTAAATCTTAATCTATGAAGACAACAGGAAATAATTTTAATCCGTGATTTTGGCCACTAGTGTCACACTGTCACCTACTAAAGAATATCAGAATAGGAGAAAATAGTATTAAAAAAAATATACAAATAACAAAGATTACAAGAAAAATATGACGAATTGAAATCGTGTTTTACTATAAATTGCAGTTTAAACACTGATTCCGTGACAATGAATTCATAAATAATATGAAAATGATTGCGCAACTAATTGGTTAATTGCTATCAGTTGTAAACTCTATATGGAAATGCGTAGTCCTAAACCAAATATTAGCTAAATTTTCTGTTATTAACAAGTAGGGAGAAATGTCTTGTCGTTGTTCTCAATTTGCTTGATTTAAAAGTATAGGAACAAAAACATAAAATCTAGACTTCAGGTCTAATATATATATATATATATATATATATATATATATACGTAGAGATGTGTGTGCAAGAGTAGAAACGCACGTTTCCCCCTCTATGTAGATTAAGAGAGGGTAATTATCACTTTTCAGGAAATCAAAACACCATACGAAAAAAAAAAGGAAAACAGAGAGGAATATAGATTTAGTTGAGGAAACCTGTGGATTCTGATTGAGGAATCTGTGCATTTGTAGTGTATTCTGTTTGCCCTTATACACCTGAAAAAAAAAAGATAGAAAACAAAAGATATCAATGAACAAATTCATGGCATTATTTTGTTTCATTTCATGTGGGGTTGTTATCAATCGTCAAAGGACCAACCATATGTCCTCAGCTTGCTCTGAAATTCACCAATAAGAGACCAAAGAGGAAAGTACTGCCAGTGAATCAGTAAGCGTGGCCATATGAGAAACCCAGTTGACAATATTGGCATCCCTTCAACAAAAAAGAAAAACACACATAGATCTTCACTGATGGAGATCCTTTTTTTCATCAATCTCTTTGGATGAAGCGTACCCATATTCTAGATCCTGTATGTGGTGTAATGTGTACCCTATCTTCTGTTTGCATCGCCACTTACCGAGCAGCTTCTAGATTCTACACTAATTGAATCTTATCTCCTTTCTAATGGGGCCTTAGTTCCAGGTTTAACTGCAAGAGAACCTTTGGTCCCACGTTTCTAAGCCTATCAAATTCTGTTTTTACTTGCACATTCGTCCTAAACCCTTTGGATCTCATGACACATACCATCTAAAAGATCCATCACATCTCTTTTGGATAGTGTGAGCTTGCAAGATGATGAAAATTGTATTCAGTGATTTCATAAGTTATGCCTTCTGCACTTGAATGTGTGAATTATAGTCACACATTCAGAATGCTCCTAAATATTCCTAACGCAAAGTGAATGTGAGAATTGGCGTACCTTGGGCACCGAGCTCAGGTGGAGATATGTTCACCTGAGGTTCAAAGTTACGAGATGACCGTACTTCTCCTGTGAATCAATCCAAGCCCTGAGACCAATCATGGGGCCTGAAAGCATCGGTTCTTCTAGGAGCTTCCAACATGTAGGCATCTCCAGAGCTGGAAAATGGCAAGCACATGGTCTGATAAGCATAAGGGTAATGTTCCACCTGTGAGTGGGGAAGTTGATGATAATATCCAGTGTCTCTGGTTAGACCATTAGAACTATTTATGCCATGAACAGTATGTAGGTTCATGCGTGAGACTGCATTTTCGTCTCCAATAACAGGCCTTCCAGGTTCTTCCCCAAAACGGCCGGTTGGATTTGTGATCGGGAAAAAGAAACTGTCTGCAGAATTATGAGGAATCAAAGGTAAAGAGCATGGCTCCTTGGTACTCAAATCATGAGATGCATCATCAAAGTGCCATGGATGATCATCCCCAGATGATGTTGACGCATTTGGTAATGTGATGAGCTTTGTGTGATAACTAAGCGGCAAATCATCTGTATTTCTCCTGCTCAATGGATCCCATTCAAGAAGTAATGTGGGTTCCTCCAACTCATGGGGCAATCTCCCATGTCTGTTGTATCCATCTTCTTCTCTGTGATAGATTGGTGAAAGCAGCTTATAGTTTCTGAACCTGGGGCTTGAGATGGGATAACAGCTCAGGTTTCCTTCATCAGAACATGACACCAATGACTTCTGTTTCAAGAATGGAGGTCTATAGAATGAACCACCCTTAGGATATGAGATGGAAAAGCTAATCTCTTCGGGATCTCTCAGGTTGAAACTGTTGTGACCATGAGCTGTTGGAAACTGCAGAGCAGGCGCAATGCTCGCTTCCGGCCAACCCAGCCAAATGATGGATCTGCCATTCTCTGTATGTGGCGGCCTCTGTTCAACTTCCATATAGCATTTATGGGACCTGTTGAGAAATTTCGATCCAGCAGAATCAAGAAACTTCGGTTTTTCAACACTGTCTGCCTTCTCCTTCCTGCGGATCTTAGAAATCTGAGAAGAAATTGCAATGCATTTAGAACTTATCAAGAAAAGCTATGAACATGATGAACCTGGGGATTCAACCAGGCTTACGTGTTTATCCTCAGCTTCCGGAAACAGCCGAGTTAGGAGAACAGGAACTAAATCACACCTGAAATTGTACTTGTTTTGAGTGCATTATTGATAAACATATTTAGATAAAAAGATGTAAATCAACAACCATGAGTCTCTGACCCGCTTGAGCCAAGTTCCGTGGCATCAGGGAACCAGATGTCTCTCACCCACTGAAGAAGTCTGTTCCTCTTCATAGAAAACACATCTCCTGTAGGATTAGCGATTCCTGGAAATTCAAAACTAGCATGATTGTGTTTCTTCACTGTTAATTACTGTTCTCTGCATCATCTATCATTCTCTTATTGGCTTCTTAGTAGAGAAATCTGTGAAAGAGAAGACTAAAAACATACCTCCATGTCTTGTGCTGTTATCCCCTGGCCTCAAATTCTTATCCCTGAACGCTGGAGAAGATTGCTTCAAGTCTTTCTCTGAAGTAATATAAAAACAGCAGCTTGTTACAGTTTCACACTGCCGAGAGATGCTCGTTAGAGAGTAATATAGACATATATCCTTCTCAAGTTCTATATCATAGATCCTGACACATTTATACTGAGAAGAGCCAACAAAGGTATCATAAGCAACACAAAGAAATCAAAGCAGCACCACTGCCTCCGGCAGTTCCAACAGGCGTGGAGAAGCTAAATCCCTTGTGTCCATCTTTGTCTCTATCATTGCTTCCTGCATATGCCATTTTACACCATAGCAGTAAAAGATCCAGAACAGTTCCAATAAAACACTTTAATCGCGAAAAGAGGTTAAATGGACACCCAAATCCTTCTGATATCACCTTGGGTTCTGACATTGGATTTGAACATCTTCGAATTCTGAACAACATTGTTATGCAATTTGGATCCAAACCGAAGATTAGCATCTGACTTTAGTTTCTTGAAGAACGCATACTCCGACGTTTTGGCTTCAACAGCTGCGAAATCACGGAAATTGCGTGAAACAGTGAACAGCCTCCTCCGCACAAGTAAAAATGGTCGATATCCAATGAGAAATACGTAAAGAGCAACGGCGAGAAATGAACTCACTTCTTCCTGCGTGACCTTCTGGGTTATCATTCGATGGACTTTGGTCATCAACACCGGCGAAAGTCACCCTTTTCCTTCGTTTCGAATCTGTACAAAAAGGAAAGAAAATATGATATGAATTCAGAATCGAAGTCTAGAAATTATGAAAAAAACAACCCCGAATTGGCAGCAATCAAGAAGGCAGGCGGAGAAGACCTAAATCTGGTCGATAACACGAAGTATCGGTGTTCCCAAGGGTTTCTCCGGTCTTCGATCGGTGATTCCCTCTTCTCATGACGGATTTTTACAGATGAATCCAGTTGAAATGTGCATTGCTTGAGCGGAAGAAAAAGAAAAGCAATGATTGCTTGAAGGTGGTGGAAGAAACACCAGGATCTTCAGGCGTCCATGGCAGTTTGACAGAGAGGAGAGCAGTGAATTTTGGCGCCAAAATACTATCTGAAGTAGTTTCTCACATTTACATTTACTCATCTATAAAGCTTCATCTACAGATACATACATATGGAATTGTATTAATGAAGTGCTCTGTTACAAAAGGTTTTTTTACCCAAATGACCCACTTGGTCGCACCTATTTCACGCGTACACCACGAAAAACATAATACATTAATTTTTTTTTGAAAAGACAAAATTACCCTTAATGAATACACGATATTTATCCGTTCAAAAACAACTTCGTTATTACGACTTCGTAATTAATTCTAAATATAGTTACAATTGATTCTAAAAAATGTGACAAAAAAAATTATCTGTCTTATTTTAATGGTATATTAGTTATATATTAGTCGTAATAAGGTCGTAAAAAATAAAAAGAAAATGGTATTTCGAACTTTTTCAACCGAAAAGTGGGTTAAAATTGAAAAAAAAAATTGTTTTTTTCGATAGTGTACGCTGAAATAGCTGCGACCCAAGTGGTTCATTTGAGTAAAAAACCCGTTACAAATGGAGTATTCTTTTCAAATGAAATGAGATTTATACCAGGTCAGCATCTCCTTTCAATTTATGCACTACATAAAATATAAATTGTCATCATCTCCTTTAAGATAATGTGCTGACATGGCATTTTGAAACTCTCGTATGAAGGCCACGTCAGCGCATTATCTTGAACGAACGACATGTATGAACACGTGGCAGATTTCAAGTTGAAACGAAACTATTCGTTAACTCCCCCCTCACAATCTCGTCCCCGAATAAAACACGAGAGATTCCCTGAAATCCGCAGCGGAAGATGGCGATGACGTCAGCAGCTTCCGGTTTCCTTCTGATGGCCAACGCCGCCGGCTCCGGCGGTTCGTTCGGGAGCGCCGCCGCCATGCGCCGCCATGTCTCTCTTTCCGGGGAGGAGCTTCGCCGGATCGAGGCTCGTCATCATGGCGTCCGATGAGGCAGCTCCGGCGGCGGAAGCTTCTCCCAAGCCCAAGCCTCCTCCGATCGGCCCCAAGCGAGGCGCCAAGGTCGACCTCATTCAAATTCGTATTAGTAGTATTTATAATCATATGAACATGTGCATATACATACACATGAACATATCTCTCTATCTACTAAACATGGACGCTGAGGTTTGGGACTTGCAGGTCAAGATTACGAGGAAAGAATCCTACTGGTACAAGAACGTCGGATCAGTTGTAGCCGTTGATCAGGTAACACCTAAGATCCGACGGTCCAGATCTCGCAACAGCATGTTTTGTTAACCGGGTTGTGTAAACGGGCAGGATCCGAAGACCCGGTACCCGGTGGTGGTCCGGTTCCCGAAGGTGAACTACGCCAACGTCTCGACCAACAACTACGCCTTGGACGAGGTCCAAGAAGTACAATAAGAAGTTTAAGGTCATGGTTTCGGCTTAATCTCTCTTAACCGAATTGAATATACCGGGAAACTTACCGGTTATTCTCCTCTCAGACATTGTGACCATCATGATCTGACAAATTCCATAGTCCTATCTGTAATGTTGAGTTTGATTCAATAAAAAGATGCAGATGAGTGAGGATAAGAAGGGTAGCCTTGAGATTCTCCACATTATATATGCAACAACCCTTCGAGTAACTGCAGAGTTCGTACAACATAAATATGAATTTTCAAGAAGAAGACAGTGAGCTTTTGTCATATCATACTCTTTAGCTCTGAGGGCTTTTGGAATTGGCCTCAGCTAACATTGATTCAAGTTCACCATTTCTGTACAGCTTCAGTGTATCTGTCCAAAAGCAACATGATGCAGAGACTTTTATGTCAAATGAACTTACAGGAAAAACCATACTGTTACTCATTCTAATGAATTTGACTGTCTCCATTCAAGATGCACACACTAGTAAATACTGAAAAAGGATGGATTTTTATCGGTTCGTGCAGTTCTTTACGGTGAAAAAACGGGGGCTTTGTAAAAATAAGTCTATGATGAAGCACGATCTGCAATAGAACAGAGCAATTCTATCCCCACACTAGTATTTCATTTCATTCGCATTCCGATCCGATTTCCGAGCATATAACCATTGTTACCGTGCAAAGAAGACACAAAAAAGGTTTCCCTGCTGTAGAAATTCCTCGAGAAACCGAGGTCAAATAAAGAGAAACAAAGTACCTGTACAGCCGCCGATATGCTTCCCTCCTAGCCATGAACAGTAAGTAGAAGGATCAATCAGATTCTTTTGGTGCCATAAAATAAATTCTACTATGCAAATGGAGATTTCATGAGCGGAATCGGAAGCAATACTTAATACAGCAAACATTAATATTCTCAATTTCGTGTTTGCAAACGTTATATCGCTCTTAAGTTTCAGGAAAACGATTGAAGAACCACTTACCAATGAAAACATTCGGAACAGTGTGTTGTCCAGTGAGTCTCTCTAGCACCCTCTGCAGTTGTGGCCCTTGCGGACCTTTAATTGTACAAAAAACGACAAATTCAGGAGTCTTCACCATTACAGACTGATACATTGCAAGAGAGATGGTTCAGCCAATTGCCCGAAGACTTAACATGGTATCTCTACACAAGAACTACCCCCTCATCTTTTCATTGATCCAGAAACTGAAACATTCTTAGGAACTGCAACTAATGATCCAAATTTAGTTTCAAGTCCAAAGTTCTGAAAAGGATTGTTGTGCCAAAAACTAGTTTTATTTTGCATACAAATTACAAAACCAATCCAAAAGTAAAGAGGAGAACAAAAAGGAACAAGAGCCTTCCCGAGGAAACCCGTAACACGCATTGAGGCAACTTAGCAGTCCAAAAGCAAAAGCAGACAGTAACCTTGAAGAAGATTCCAGTACTAACATATGAACTAATTCGACCAAAGCAGTCCTAAGACATAATACAAAAAAAAAGGGTCAATTAGAAACTTCTAACAAGTAGTGCTTCATTGGATCTAAATCTCCATCAGACCAGCTTTTCTGTCCGAGATTTCTTAGTTCTAGAGATGCTCATTTTTACCATAACAGACTGAATTTGGCAAACCGAACCAAGTCGTAAAGGGAAAAACTTTTACAAGAGAATGATGCATTGTGAAGATACCAAGTTCATCCAGTTCAATAACCAGTGGCTGAACTCCAAGCCTCTTGAACAATGACTTCACTTCAGACGAGTACCTTCACAAACACAGCACCAAAAAAAAAATACGAAAAGCGTCAAAAAAACCCATACTTCCAACAACGCAAAATCACCCTGAAAACACCAAAAGAAGGTTTGAAGGACAACTGGTAAAAATGCGACCCCATTCTCCAAAAGCACCAGAAATTTGCAAAAAACAACAACAACAACAACAGAAACTGTTCTCAAGTTAAGCAAAACTATCATAATTTAAATCGAGAAACCTAGAAAACCAGCAAAAATGAAGAAGTAAAAACTGGTCATGGAGGAGTAAAAGTCATGAGAAGTGAACTCACGAGCACCAAGTTTTGGAGTATACAACGACAGGGTTCTCCGCCGCCGTCGTTTTTACGGTCTCCTCAAGTCTCGAAGAAGATGAGGGCGAGGAAGAGGAGGATATGGCCCGAACAGAACATCCGGTTGATCTCCGATACGTGCGCCCGATCGGTGTCGGTTTTGGACATCTCTCGAAGGCTAATCTGAAGGAGTTTATGATACCGGAAGAGAGCGAACGAATCGGATATAGAGATTTGGATGGGAGATTCGTGAGGTTCGATGCGACTGCCATGGCGAGGCGATTCCTCCGACATGTGGTACTTCTTCTTCCCTCCCCTATTTTCCCTTGCTTTTTAATTTTCATTTTATATTTATTGATTGTGGGCTACTGACTTAAATCTTTATGGGCTTTTTTGTTTTAACGAAAAAGTTTGAATAGTTTTTCTTTTCTCTCTGTAAGTTTGGGCCTTCAGGTAAGAACGATGGGCTTTTCTTTCTTTCCTCTCGTTGTGCACCCCTAATATATACCGTATATAATATAAATAAAAATAGTATATAAAGACCAAAACTTTAATCAAAATCTCAAATAAATATTAAAACTAGTAAAGTTCAATATAAATATCTAAAATTTTCAAAAACAATTATATAAATACCAATACTTTTTGAAAAAATTTCAAATAAATTCAAAGTTTAGACATTTTTCAAATAAAAATAGTTAACCTCATTAATGGATTTTAAGTTTATTTAAATTTTTTTTAAAAGTTTAGGTATTTTTATAGGATTTTTTAAAAGTTTATATATTTATATGAATGTTTTATAGTTCAGATATGTATTTGGAATTTTTGTAAAAATTTATGTATTTAAATGTTATTTTTACAATATATAATGATAAATATAAGGTTTGGGAATTCACAGTGAAATATAAGGATATAACTGTAACTATAGATATTAGGTTGAACCTAGGGTTATTTTTTTCATGTATACAATTATATCCTACATTGTTGTACATGATAAGATCATGTCGGGAGATGGACTAGTTGGCATGTCATGGGGGCACCAACCATTTCATTTCTCATTTATACCATCCAAATTATCTTTGTTGCTTCTATATGTCTTACGTCCGCACGCAGATTTGAACCCACTTTTTTCTTTTCTTTTTTTTTGTATTATATATATATATATATATATATATATATATATATATTGGGCTGAGGAGAGCAGATGGAACGTTGCTGCTTAAATGTGTTTTCAGACATTCTCATAGAGTTAGATGCAAGTGGGAGTGACTTTGGTTTCTGTTCTTTTGAAAATATTTATTACTTTGTGTAATGATATCATTATCCATGGTTCCGTATATTCAGGTGTTGTTGTTTTTCAACAAAAAAAAAAACAGTTAGAATAGTTTATTCAAACATATATATATATATGTATGTATATATTTCTTTCTAATGACGATGTCATTAATGAAGTTTCTATATTTTTTACATTTTGTTTATATACTTATGGAATCTTTATTATTTATAAACACGTGTTTACAAAGCAAAAATAACTCAACTACATCCTACATTTTTTTAATAATACTAGCTTATATTTCAGAGGGGAAAATCAAGATTAAATATTTTTTTTTTTTTTATATATATATATATATATATATATATATATATATATATATATATATATATATGGGCCCTTGAACATGATAGATTTTGACAATGGTGATTTGCCACTTGCGACCATCACCATGTGTGACACATTTACTCTTTGTCACCTATATGTTCAAAGCCATTCACATTCAATATTTAATTTGACCATCACATATAATATTTTAACATATATATATATATAGAATATATGTATCGAAATAAAATTTAATAGACTGAAAAAAATACATTTCAATAAGTAATAGAATTCGATCATTCGATTTTTGTTTTTGTTTTTTAGTTACGAACTCTACATGTATAAGCTTGTAAAACATGGGGTGCTGCTTGTTACTTCCTGACTTTTTGAAACCGATCCTTCACACACACACACACATATATATATATATATATATGTTACATGTGGTGTATATATATATATATTCGCATATACACACATCCAATCAGATCTCTTCTTCCATATGTAGATATTATTATAGGTACATGGAATTTAAGTATCTCGGGAGTTTTTTCTTATGTGATTGACTTTCTTAGGCTGTTTATGATTTTGTACATGTGTTATGTGATATAACATAATCTTCTTTCATAAAAAAAATAATGTATAATTTCACAAGAAAAATGATGAATATGCATGTTTGGATAAAATTTAAATATAAAATAATATATTAAATGTGGTAGTTGAAATCGGGTTTTGGACTGATGATTTGATCCTTGGACATTGGACAATGAGGGAGGGAAAAGGACATTGCCCGTATACTTTGATGTGACACTGTAAGATCTCATTTTTTCATATATATATGTATGATGTGACATAAATTATCATGAAATTATGAGAAGAGTATATAAATTTTAAAAAATACCAAATAAATACAGTATTCTGTAGTAATACCAATTAAATACATTGTATTTTTATTTAGCTACATATACTTCGATTCCGCTGCTAAAAATACGTATATTTATTTAACAATTTTTGAAATTTATTTTATGTATTTGATATATTTTTTTTACAAATTTTTTCTCTCTGTATACATTACACACACACACACACACACATCCCAATAAAGCTACTACCTGATTTTAGACACACAAAAATTAAAAACAGATTTGCCAATGTCATCGCATATATTTTCCATAATTATTTTCTCAGGCTCTTTGTTATTTGTTATTTTGAGTTAAGGCTGTTTTTTTTCCTTCTAATTGAGTTAAAATTAAACTAAAAAAAAAGTTTGTTTAAATGAATTGTTGATGAGGTGCATGTGCCACCCCAATCAGCCCATGACCATCCTACCATTTAATTTGGTCAATCAAAATGGTTATTATTAATATTTAATGAGATAATGATGTATAACCCTTTTTTCATACCCATTCACATACACACATTTTTTTTATAACTAAGAAGTTAATTGGACCATCACGTAATCTCTATATTCAGAATCAGTCTTTAATCACATAATTTATTGTATTCCTCCCAACTAGTAAAATCGAACCCAAGATATTGAAATGATTTTGTCATCTTTCAATGGACATTTTTACACACATATATATATATATATATACACATATCCGCATGTGATGTTACATTGTAGAATTTCAAATCAACTCCTTGCAAATTTGCAATTAGTGTTTAAACTATATCTACCCAAGATATTATAAGCATTCATAATTCTTTTTTTTATATCATAGAAATCCCTTATTCCATTTATCGGAAACCCATCATTTAGATAGTTAATTTACTCGGTTCTTTACTCAAAAAAAGACAAATCACTCTTCGATAATATCATTTACATTCCAAAATAAATAAATAAATCGGGACGTAAAAACTTGTAAGGTATGGTCATTCTAAGATTAAACATTAGTAGAGTAAACGCATACATAAGCTAATTTTTTTAGTAGAGGTGACAATTTTGGTCCGAATTTTGAAATCCGCTTCAAACTAATCCGAAAAATTTCGGGGTTTGGATTTAAAATTGTATTTTAAAAAAATTCACAATTTGGACTAGATTCAAATCGGATTTCGAATCAATACAAAAACATGATTTACTTTTAAAAACACAAATGCAATAAAAATAACAATGTATACAAGTAAGAAATTAATCAGACTAGTTCGATCTGATCCAGTCCAAATCCGAATCCGAACCCTATAGGGTTGGACTTAATTCTATAAAACTGAAAAAATCCGAGCCAATATGAACTCACATCCGAAACCTTCACATCGAATGTGGACTCAGGTCGGGTCGGGCTGGATCAATCCGTTTGACATCCCTGATATATCACATGAATTTGAAAACCATATGATTTACATTGCAATTGTAGGTTGTAAACCATATACATATGCATATTGTCTCATAACCTTTCATTCAACGTGCTTGTTATGTTTTCGAGTATCTTACTTATAGATCCTTAAGAAACTTGCGATTGATTACATTGTGTGTATTCATCTGCGAATTTGAGATTACATTCAAGGAAGCAAGAGCGTATGCATTTTGATTTGATGAAACAAATAACTACAAAAGAACAAATTTAATATAAAGCCTAAAATTTTAAAAAGAAAAAAGAAAAAGCCTCATCATCCCCCAGGTTTAACAAAACGCCCAAAGCAAGTGGAGGAGGTTACAGAAAAAACATAAACACACGCACACACAAGAGTTTCAGTTTGGGTCTTCAGGCAGGAGAGGGCTCTCTGTCTCTGTCTCTGTCCTAATCCTATCTCTTTCTATTTCCTTTTTCTTTTAATAATGAAATTAGAATTGCTGAGAAATGCAGCGGCGGTGACAAGCCGTGGTGCGTTTCTGGGGCTGTTTGGTTTCGAGTTTCCAGACAGAGCCAATGTCTTGTGCGATTCTGACAGCGTCTGCAGACGCGCCTGAGAGCCCTCTCCTCGTGAATCCCACCGCGTACAGTCCCCTCTCCCCTTTCCAGCAGTTCGGAACCTGCGTTTTGGGAAACCCATTCTTCGAAAAGAACCCGCTTTCCTGTTCAAACGCAAACGCAAACGCAGACGCAGACGCCATCAGCTCATTTTGCCCATTTTTTTAGTTTAGTAGGTAAAAGAAAAAAATAAGACCGACCCGGTTTAGGAATCGCTTTGACGATCCGAACCCGGTTTTCAAAATCTGAAATTTCATACGAAGTGCAACTGTTTTCTCACCTGAAGCCAAGACGGGACGTTGCTGCGGTATCCAGTGGCGAGAACCACTGAGTCGATGCCGAGTTTGTCTCCACTGATGAGCTCAACTTGGTTTCGGCTGAACCGTTTGATCCCTGGAACCACATTGATCTCCCCTGATCTGATCTTCTCCAGAGCTCCGATGTCGAGCACTGGAGTTTTGCCTTTCAAGTTCTTCAGCTCCATCGGACCAATCTCAGGCCTTTTCAGACCATAATTCTCGATGTTCCCGAGCACAAACCATGTCAAGATTAACAAGAGCTTGTCTACGAGCCACAGAGGAAGCCATTTCATCATCATCATCGCGAGCTGGAACGTTGATTTCCCCATGATCTCCCTGGGTAACACGTGAACCTGTTAACAGAGAAAACCCAGCTCGTTCAGTCTTACTAATCCTCCAAATTAAATCCAAAAATCTCGATTATTGATGAAAAAGTTCGAAACTTTATCACTTACCGAGCTACGAACGACCATGGAGGGAACAGCGAAGTGGTTTGCGAGGTCGAGAGACACTTCCATGCCGGAGTTTCCGCATCCGACGACCAGCACTCTCTTTCCGGCGAACTTCTCGCCGGACTTGTAATCGCAGGCGTGGATCACCTCGCCGGAGAATTCGTTCAATCCGTCGATCTCGGGCACAACACGCTCGGCATT